AAACTACTAATAATTGCTATTTGAAAAGAAATTAATCTTCAAAATAAAGTAAAATCTCCATTTATGAAGATTTTGTGAAGCAATAAAAATCTTTTGATTATGAGCGCTTTCCAATCCGATGGTGCATGTTGCTTTTTCCACTTACAATATATTGCTGATAATACGAGTACATCTGTATTCTAAATATGAAGATTTTTTTATGATCTCTAATGTTTTTTATTATCTTTTCAATTGAAATACATGAACAATTTTTCTCTTTGTATATTATAAACTAAAAGAAATTATAACATCTACATTAATATCACAAGAGAAACGTTCTTATGAAGAAAACAATCATACAAATTTTAAAATTTTAGTTACAATGAAAATATAATTTTACAATAGATATTCGAAAGCTATATGATATGATATAGATCTTTTCTTCAAGATTTTTCTTGTGGAAATCTCAAGAGATTTTTCTTTATAAAAAAGATTTAAGATCATCATAAAATCAGTAATTAGCTTATTAAACACAGAAACTAATATTTTTAATGTTCTAAACTAATTACTTCTAATCTGTTATAAATTACTTATTAAACAACATATTGTTTGTTGAAACAATATGTTGAGAGAAAAAAACAATGAATATAGAAATTCTTGATTATATGTTTATATGATAAAAAAAAACAAATCGAGAAAATTTTCTTTGACATTGTATTAATAATAATAGGATGAAAATATACTAAATACAATATAGACGCAATTCTCGACTATCGAGCGAGCGAACAGAGTAAGTGAAAGGCGATGAAGGAGAAAAAAAACAGCGGCAAGAAACGAGGAGTTCCTCGTCTCTGTTATTATCAGTCGTCAAAATGAAGAAGAAAAATAAGACAAGGAGGAGAAGATGAGATGATGTGTGTAGGCGCCGTCTTCAATCAATGTTCGACCGAACATGTACCATTAAATCTTTATCATCATCACCATCATCGTAACTTTTGCTCAAAAAGCAGAAAAAAATATTTGTTTCTTATATTTTCTTTCCTAAGTGAAAATTAAAAAAAATCCATCGAAATTTTTTAATTACTCTATAATTTAGATTGTTCAAGTATATACTTGTCATATTTTTAGTTTTTCAATTTTCTTAAGGGAACTTCTAATTCATTAACAACTGCTATTTGGATAATTAACGAACGAAATTCAACGTCAGTAAATATTGATGTTTATCAACCAATTATTCAAATAATGTGGTATCGTTTCCTGTTAATCATTAGTAAGTATAGTTTATTGATATTAGTTTTTTTTGTTCTCAATAATATATAAAACAAATATTGAAAGAAACAAAGAAAAAAATTCTTCCGGAAAGATGATGTTTACGTTCTTGTTTAATCGGGTTAACAAGCGACAGACTGACACGATTGTATCTCGAGCATACTTTATAAAAATGCGGAAATACATATACTTAAATACGGCAAAAATGAGAAAAACGATGTCATTATCAAGTAGATTCGCTTTACTTTTTTCTATTCTAGTTATTTTTGTGACTGCCGCTGGCAATATTTTAGTTTGTTTGGCTATCGCACGAGAACGAAAATTACAAAATACAACTAATTATTTTCTTATGTCATTAGCTATTGCAGATTGTCTTGTTGCTATACTTGTCATGCCGATGGGAATGATTGCAGAAGTGTTAGGTAAAGTTTTACACAAATATTCGAAACACCAACAGAAATTTTCCATATGTTATTTATATATTCTCTAGGCCATTTTCCGTTGCCACATTATGCCTGCATTATTTTCGCTACAATGGACGTATTATGTTGCACATCATCTATATGGCACATGAGTACAATGTCAATGGATCGTTATTTTACAATTCGTTTTCCCTTTCGTTATGGTAGAAATAAAACTCGTCGTATTATGTTACTTAAAATTATTGCTGTTTGGGCAATAAGCACAGCTGTATCATCTCCAATATTTGTTTTAGGTATTGTTGATAAACAAAATGTTTTATCAAACGGTGTATGTGCACCTAACAATGCATCATTTAAATTGTATGGTTCAGTTTTTGCTTTTTATATTCCATTTATAATAATGATAACAACATATGCATTAACAATGCGTTCTTTGAGAAATGTTTTAGTTAATAAAAGAAAATATAATCGTGAAAGACGTCGCAAACAAACATTTCAACCATTAGCACAAATTGTTAATCAATATGCCGCAATAGCACAAAGTATTCGACGTACACCATCAACGAACAATCCAACAACAATGTCAACAACAAATATAAACAATAATATTAATAACAATAATAATATCTCTCATTTTAATAACACATCTTATTCATTACTAACAACCACAACACCAAGAGATTCACGTACACAAAGTCTTCTATCAAGTAGTTCAGATTTAAATTTAAAACAAGTTTCAAATAATATTCAGTACGGTTCAATGAATATGACAAATAGAACAAATATAAATAATGAACTTATTCATAATAATAATCAACATTTAACTATTAATTATACTAAGCCAAGTGGAAGTAAAAAAAGACGTTATTATCATCAACAACAACCATTTACACTGAATACAGGAATAAATCGTACAAAAAATGATTATGATATGAGCACTGTTTTTGAAATAACTGAATATTCAAAGTCAGCAGCAACTTCTTATGATGTTACACCAATAACAGGTAATCGTATATATCAAATACCAAATGTAATTAACGAGCAAAAGCAACGAGCGTTAAAATCGATTGACATTATAGAGCGGCAACAACAACAAACGCCAAATACAACAATGACAACAGCAGCTATCAGCACTATATCACCGGTTGAAGTAGATATTTGTTCGACGACTGATATTGATAGTGGAGGTAAGTTTTATATATTAAATCATTCGAAATTATGTTTGTTAATTAATATAACATTAGACAAAAGAGCAAAAGAAAGGTTAACTTAAAAGAAAAAAATTATCTGGAAAGATTAATTAAAGAAAATGATAAAATATTGAAAATGTGAATGAAATAAAATATCATATTAAAAGATAGATATACTCTAATAAATGCATATTGTTTTCGGAAGATGTTCTCTTCTTGAAATAAGATAAATTATTCATATTATCATTTTAATTTTCTTGTCTTGATCATAGAAAATTTATCAATAAGAAAGTTTCAAACATCAATTATTTATTGTAGTATGAGTACATATTAAATTATTTATGAAAGAATATATTGTTTCGTTTATTATTAAAATCATAAACCAAAACAAAAAACTGTCGCATAGATTTTCCTTATTGGATTTTCATGATTTCTAATTAAGATTTTTAAAAAAACCGGTTAAGAAGTTTTTATAGAAGAAGATTACAATATTCTTATGTAATGAATCTTGAAAATCTTTGAAGATATTTTTCTACTTGAAAATAAAATTCGAAACGTTATTTATTATGAATTTTTTTGAGAAATTTTCAATTAGATTATACTTTACTCTAAATAATATACCCTGAATTTTATTTTAATAATTTAAAAAGAGCAAAAATATATTTTTATTTATTTTAGCTGAAACAAATGAATTAAACTCTATTGAAATAGTTCCTTCAACAAAATCTATTCATTCTACTTCACTTAATTCTACTGAATCTGTGTCTTTAATAATTCCATGGGAATATTGTCTTATTATAATTCAATATATTCTACAATATTATCTATATATTTTTCCTTATCGATCACGTCCTTTAGCAATTAAATATAAATTCAATGAAAATGACTTTAATAAAAGATCATCTATATTACATCAATCGACATCAACATCATCAATAAATATAATAGTAAGAAAAAATTCTCAATCGGTGTCTACACAAACAAATTCTCTTCCACCATTACATTTATCTAATACTCATGGACTTAATAGTAGTGAAACTTATTTATATAATCCTATTAAACGACATAAATTTTCATTTAATCGATCAATATTGCCTTCATCATCTTTATTTACAAAATTTTTTCGTCAATCATCAACAATATTACGTTCACATGTACGTTCAACTAAATCATCAATATCATTAGATCGACACTTACCTATAGCATCATCATGTCCATTACGTCAACAATACTCATATCATCATCGTTCATCTAGTGTTTTTCGTCCAATTGAATCTGAAATGGATCATATTTTTGAGAATGATCATCGTCCTCGTGCATCATCATCATCTGCTCTATTACATACAACATATTATCGAAGAAATCATACATCTTTACATGGACATAGATCATTAAAACGTCGACAACAATATCAATCTGGTTCAGGTTATTTTTTAACATATTCAAATCCATATGCTTTACGACGACAACAACAACAACCGTTTACTTCATCAACAAATACAAATTCATCTGATTCATTATCAGTTTTTCAACGAATAAATTCGAAATATTTTTCAACACTGTCAAATCATCAACAACAACATCAAACTCAATCACAACGTTTACGTGATGAACATATTGTTGCAGCTAATGAACGAAAAGCTTTAAGAGTTTTATTAATTATATTTTGTGTATTTGTAACATTATGGACACCATTTTTTATTTGTACATTTATATCAGCTATATGTGAACAATGTCGTGAACGTATATCACCTACTATTTGGTTTTCAATAACATGGCTTGGTTATAGTTCATCTATGGCTAATCCATTTATTTATACGATATTTAGTGATGCATTTCGACGTGCATTTACAAATATTATTTTTTGTCGACCTAGTGATTCATTATTTTCACAACAGTTTTCAACTAAATTATCACATCAAAAAAGTGCCGTTCCTCATCAACCAATTCCTAGACAATTATCCTATAGACGAAATCCAAATCATGAATTTTCAAGAACATCAACACCAATATCATTACATCATCAAACATCAAATGCTGGAAGTGACGCAACAATATATATTAATCGATGTATATCGGATTCATTTCGATAATTAAATAAAGAAAGAAATCTAACACATCTTTCTTTTGTTATCATAACTTACCCGAGTTCTTCCAATGTTTCAATTAATTGTTGTTTTTGTTCGGGTAACATTCGTGCAAAAACTGTACCACGTACACATAACTGAATTTAATAATAATATCAAAAATAAAAAGTGAAAATATTATTTTTCAAAGAAAAAAAAAAGAATAAAGAAACATTTTACTCGATGTAATAATTCAGGGTGTTCATCGCGAACAATTTGGAATGATTTACCAGATATAGCAAAATGATATTGTGAACGACGATCAAGTTCAATTAATCGATGAGACTAAAATTATTATTTTAAAAATGAGTAAATATGCTTTTTTTTCAAATTTTTAATGTTAAAATTTATTTTATTTTTTTTTTGAAAATCTGTAAAGCACCTCTTCACGGAAAAACAAATAAATATTTTCAAATGTTTTCATTAAATATGAAAAATTGATCATTTTGTCTTTGCATATATTATGTTCTTTTCGAATCAATCAAATTGAATAAAACAAGAACAAAGATATTTTTCTAATGAAATTCTTTTTTGTTTTCTAGTACAACTAATTTGTAATTATGAAAAAATGTTTATTATTTCTTCTATTGTAAATTAAAAGTAAAGAGCAAATGATATAAGAAAATACTTGTTAGTATGTTTATTAAACAGTATTAATTTCTTTTGTTATATAAAGATTATGTTTTCTCATCAAAAGGATTAAATAGAATGTTTTTATTTGATGAGAAAAAATAACTGTTCCATATGTGTTCCTTAAAGATATTTATTATTTATTGTTATATGAATTGTGAAAAACAAAAAGAAAAGAAAAGATGCAAGATAAATTAAAACCTATCTCAGCAATAAAAGATTCTCTCATCAAAGAAGATCTTCCTTGGAAGAACAATCCGTCAGATGCGATAAAATATGTCCCTTGATTAATTAATTTCTTGAAGGACTGGAGGTTTAATTTGTATATTTATATCAAAATATGTCTAGTTTTCAGAAGGGATCTATCAATTCCTAGAACATGATGTTAAAGATGACATATGTTTTCCTTATTAAGAATGTACTTCCTATTGACTGTTTGTACCAAACATAATCAGTTTGTTTTGCTCTACTAGAAGCTGCGGTCGAAATACATGAAATAGAAAACAAAGGTTTTGGAATTGGTCAGAAATTCTCATTTTTTAAGTGTTTTTGTTTTCAAGCAATTGCAAATGGTTTCGAGACTGCCGTTTTGCATTAAACACAATCTAAGAATAGATTCGGAAAGAGAGTTCAAAATTGAACACAACTGTTATGAAAAATTGCTTAGATTCGAGTAATTCTTAATAATGGACATGGTTTTTGTAAGCAGGAATAAATCAATTCCTGTCAAATTCTTGAATTTCTAATCGTAGTTTAGAATATTTCCAGTATTGATATTTACCAGACTCCAAGGGATTCTTCACACCAGATGTGTTCAGTTTTGAATGCTCTGTCCAAATCTATTCTTAGGTTTTTGCCTAATGAAAAACACAAATCTCAAAATCAGTCAGAATTGGTCGAAAAACAATTACCAAATGCAAATATTCCACCAACCTCAAAACTTTTTTTTTCTATTTGATGTATTTTGACTAAACTCCTTCACGCAAGAGAAACCCCCGGATCTGTTATTATGTCCGAGTATACAAAGTTTTCACAATGTTTTTTTATTGTGCCCCATTTATTTCCATTATTTTTCAATTAAGAGAATTTTTCAGAAAACTAAATCGATTTTGAGAATTTAGAAAGATATCTTTAGTAGCTTAAAAGTTCAAACATAATGCTGACATCAGTCTTTGGAGACTTTCAGTTTGAAACCCTGAAAACTAAGCATATATTGATATAAATATACTAATTAAATATTCTAATGTTTTTGGTACTTAAGTAATCAAGAGGAGTTTTCTATTGCGGAAATGAGAGGCCGCAGTTTCTGATAGAGCAAAAAAACTGATCATAATTGATATAAACAAACCATAGGAACTACATTCTTCATACGGAAAAAACTATCATCTTCGACATCATGGTCTATAAATAGGTGCATTCCTAGTTTTGGGCTAAAAAAGAACTTAAATCACTAAGATCAACGCTATTTCCAGGTTTTTAAAACCCTACAAATCTATTAGCAAATCTTCTAAATCGTTTTTTGCTTTTTTTTTGAACTCTTGAAATTAAAAATTATGAGAATAAATTAGACACAATAAAAGACTTTCTTACAAAATTTGTACTTTTGAACATAAACAAAGACTCAGGGTTTTCCATTGCGAGAATAGAATTCAATGTAGTTTTATAGGTTTTTTTTCAAAACACCTTCTTTTTCTAATAATCGTTCAAAAAGTGCATGCATAATAATATATACATACATTAAGATCATAACGAACTTCTTTGACTCTTCTATTATAAACTTGAGCATAAGAAAATGTCGGTGTACTATTTGATTCAGTTGCTTCAATAACAATTATTTTAGCATCATCAGGAATCATGTCACAATCACGAGCAACACTCAATGCTGTTAACATATTATCACCTGTATAAAATTAATTTAATAGCAAAGAATGTATATTAGAAAGAGAATAATAAATATACCAGTACACATTATTGTTCGAATATTAGCGTTTGACAGAATTTTTAAAACTCCTAAATAAATTATTAAAATTTTTCCAAAAAAGAAAATTAATTATTATTTATTTCTTGTGTACCTTCTGTTTGTGGCTTAAGACGATTTTCCATAATCACAAGACCGAGAAAGATAAGATCATGTTCAATTTTTTCTCTATTTTTATTTAAATCAATAAATCATATAATATAGTTTTATTATTATTATTATTATTATTATTATATTATTATATAATAGCCATTCCATATAAGTCACGACCTATCACCATTGCAGGATGCTCAATCAGGTTCTTGGATTTGTACAAAATCTCTTCCATCATCTTGTAGAACATACTGCTTTAGGTAGAGAATCAAATTTTTAGCCTTATTGAAAATCGCTTTATCAAAATATTAAAATCTTTCGAATGATTCTTCACTGTGATAGAATAATAAGAAGAAAATTATCTTTTAAACAGATTTTTTTTCCTAAAATACTCATATGAAATCGCTCAAATTTTCTTTTAAAAATACTAAGAAATTAAGGACTATTTTGATGGTGAAAGCGAAAGATTGGGATGTCTGCTGATTGAACAAAAGTGGTCGTGGCGCATGTGGAGTGGCTCATTAGTAACTAACCGTTCAATTCTTTGAATTTTAACATAACTTAATTCTAATGGTTTATAAGCAAGTGCTAATACTCGATAACCTTGTGTAGCATATGATGAAAGTATTTCATTAAAATTTTTTGGAACTATTAAAATATATATATATATATTTAAATATAAATGATATCTAATAAATAAATATATATATCGTAGCTCACTTGTTTCAGATCTTGAAAGTTCAGCTATTTTTTCTGGTGAACCTTTTGTTAATAAATCAAATGAATCTTTTGCAAGAATTCGAACAATAACACTTGTTCGTTGAAGTGATGAACTAAATGGTAATTGTCGAACAATACCAATTTCAAATGGAATATTCTATTAAAAGAAAAACAACTATCAAAATAAAAAAATTATAATTAATTATTTTAACTTACTCCAGCAATAAGTGAACTAACGGAACCTGAAAATCTACCTAATGGTGATGTTGTATGTTTAGATGTACTTATTGGTCGTACAATTGTTGGAAAAAGTATATCAAAATTAGATTGTTCACTTGCTGCTGGTTCATATAATTCATATTGTGTAAATGCAAGCATTTTAAGATCAAGTGGATCACCAGCAATTTCACCATTTATTCTTGTTAATGTATGACATGCTAAAATTATTCAAATAGAATTTTTCTTATGACTTATTATTCAATATTTTCTTTTTATCTATTATTACCTGCCATACAAACAATAATCATACTATGAGCTTCATCATCACGCCAATTTAAATCTGTTACTTCAGTTATTTCAGAACCAAATTCAATTTGTTTCGTATCATTCATTGTATCATATGAACGAAGAATTGGTAAGACACATTGAAGATCAAGTCCATCTTCAGTTAATGTTCCTGTCTAATGAAATATAAAATAAACTATTCGTTTTTGTTTATAAAATAGAAAACAAACTTTATCAAATACAACAGTATTAATTGAACCACATATATTAATAGAACGAGGACTAATACAAAAAATATTATCTTTTTTTAAACGATTTTGTGCATAAACAAGACCAGCTGATAGGGCAGCAGGAAGTGCAGGTGGTACAGCAATTGTAATAACATCAATAGTACGTTTAAAAATGGTACCAGCACTTTCACGACGCATTATCTAGTTAAAATAAATAAAAATATTTAATCTTCTCAAGAATATATGTATATTTGTTAAACTAATAGAACATAATGATAAAATTATCTTACCCGTAATATTAATGAAAAGATCATGCCACCTAAGGCAATTAATGCCATTCCACCAACATATTTATATGTATCCGTATTAAATTTAAAATCAACTGGTTTTGGATAAAGTATTGATCGAACAAGTTCACCTTTAGCTGTACTAAATGCTAGAATATTGAAAATTTAAATCATTATTTTATGCACAAAATAGATTTTACCTGTTCGAAGAACTATAGCTCGTACATCACCAGCACCATAATAACGTGTTTGAATAACAGATGTACCACTGAATAATATAAATCGATTATGATCGCGAATATCAAACGTTTGACTAAGTGCAGGATGATCTGATGACGATTGATAATATGGTATTTGAACTTTTGTTACAGGAATACTTTCACCTGTTAACATTGATTCATTTACAATAACATTTCCATTTAATAGAGCAGCATCACATTGCATTGTTGTTGAACTACGTATTATAATTACATCACCTGGTACAAGATCTTCACTAATTATATCGCGTTGTTCTTCTACAAAAACAAAATAAATTAATAAATCATATTTTAAATTAAAAACGAAAATTATTTAAAACATTCGACACATTAGAAGACTCCGTATGAGAATCGATTTTTTTAAAATAATTTCTACAACTTATTAATATTTGTTTAGTATTTATGTCCAAAATAATATCTAAGTTTTGCTTTCGTCCTCATAGCGACGTGTCAGTTCCGAGTTAAAAAGTTTTGAAAAAAAAAGCTGATAGGAAGCACTACTATTGAAACATACGTTCCATTATTGAAAAAATATTGTGGAGTTAATTCAGTCCTCTTTGGTAGGATAGTTTGAAAAAATTTCTCAATACGAAAAAAAAACTGCTTTCATGATCATAGAACCTAATTGATAGGGTGCCCATTCACATGAGTCACATACAAAGAGATCTTTCTAAAATAGCAAGCTATTCAGTAAAATCCTGTTGTATATTAATTAAAAGGCCTCTTCGTCTTTACACTTTCTTCTAGAGATTCAGAAACGTTTTTGTTACAAAGCAGTGCATTGATAATTGAAGAAAACATATCTTTCGGTATACACGTTAAGATTTGTTCTATGAAGTATTTATTGTCAGCCTGAAAACGTATTTCTTTTTGTAAAAGATTCTAAAGTCATTTCTCAAAATATACACCCAAAAAAACATACTAAATATGTACTGAACTGCTGTTTTTCTTTAAACTGTTTCTTCACACAGAATCATACTCATTGAAGTTAGCGTCAGATTAACAATTATGCTAGTAGTAGAGTTTAGTGTGAACAAGTTCTTTCTATACGATTTAAATCTCAACATAGGCATGTTCTTTAAATAAATTTGATAAAAACATTTAATTTTCTTTTCTTCAGTTATTTAACTAGTGGGAAGATTAAATGATGTTAGTGATAGATTTTATTCTTTAGAAAAAAAAAAAAGAGTACTATTAGATATTGTATTAAAATGCTAGAACATGTTGACTGCATTATTCATAAAATACTCTTTTTACCATGATTATCTCTTTTTTTTTTCACAGGATATTATCTGTTTCTTTCTCATTCTACACACACACAGGACAAGAGAAATAAGCTGGCTTACAAACGATGTGTTGAGCAGAAATGAATTGACACTAAGAATTGTTGGCGAAACTACCAAAAAATATGTCTTAATAGAAGGCCGCCCTTGTAACTTATGAATGATAAAATAGAATAGTAGATCCCGAGTCTTCTAATATGTCGAGGGTTCTATTAACATATACCTTCATTTGTTTCAGGATTGTATGTTACAACAGTTGTTACTTCTGATTGATGGACTGTATCACGTAAAGCTCGTTCATTCTATTAATAAAAGAAAAAATTTTATAAATAGTTTTGAAATATTTTTCTGATAAGAAAGATAAATACTTTTCGAACTTCACGTAATGTGACGATAACTGAAACAACAGTTATGAAAACAATGCAGGATGCATAAGCAACATATTCATCAGCAAACCATGAGATACATGAGAATAATTGAAATATATAGAATGGTGATAAAACCTTCGATGAAATACAACAAAAAAACCAAATCATAAAACAATTTGAAAAATAAAACTTTACTTCTTTTATGAGTAAATGTAAGATAGGAGTAAGACGTAGACCGATGCTATTTTCACCAAAAATTATTTTTCTAATTAAATAAAAGTAAAAAATTTCTGGAAAAATAATCAATTGATTTTTATATTAATTACTTTTGAGCACGTTGTTCGACTGTTAATGGACGAATCTGACAAAAATAATCACATTTAACATTGTGCTCAACACCTCTATTAAAAGAACAAAGAAGATTAAATTGATTGATTTTTTTATGACTTTTTAACTTACAGAAGTTTTGTAAATTTATATTCAGCTTCTTCCCAAACATAACTCCATCGTTTATTAATGAAATATCGATGAATGTCCTTCTAAAATACACCAAAAATTTAATAACAAAAAAAATAAATAGATTGATAATTTTATTGATTGTCATGTTCGTTTAGTTGCCAATTAATATTATCATTATCGTATAATAGTACTGAATTATTATTATTATTATTATTATTATTTAAAAAATGTTATAGTGCTTCTATTATTTTTACAAACACTCAAAATCAATAAAATGACCCTTATTTTGTCTTTAATAAATATTCTAAGTAAAATGCATATATCAGTTAATAATCGTAGAGTATTTTGTAGAAAATGCAATCATTTTGACTTCTATCAAGAAAATTATATTGAATAAATATCAATTACAATATAAATAATACCTATCGAGTCAAATTAGGTGTTACTTCGAAAATATCAATCAATTAATCTTAGTTTTAAAAACAAAGCATGTATTAGATTGCAGGCATTCTGGAAAAAATAGTATTGATGATAGAATAAAAAAAGTTATTATCATTATTAATATTATGACATTTACTCCTGTTAAAAATATTGATGAAAATTATAATATTATAGATATGATAGAGATAATTATTTTTAGTGTGTCATATATATGAATGCATTTCATATTATTTTTAACTATTACATTTTCAAAAGTATATGAAGTCATTTCTTCAAAAGCACCATTTTGATAAGCCCATCTCTGAAGAGAAAAGTATACATGAAAAAGAAAAACATACAATGCAATTTTAATCATGCATTAAAAACGAATATTTATACACACAGATCATGTCACCACTGGCAAACAACACGAATATACCTACCGACTGTCGCCAGTTCTTCGTCTTTGGCAGCATATTAGAGCTGCTCATGAGAAAAGGTTCACCTGTAGACTGAATATTTTCGTTTATTATTTATTTTAATTTTCTTTTTAAATCAACATATTATCTTCGCAACATCATGAAAGTTTATCTTTATCCTTCTACTTACGTCATCTATTTGTTGTTGTTGTTCAGAAAGACTACCAATTCCTGAAGGATTTGCAGGAATAGAATTGCTTGAGATAAGAAAAAAAAAAAAAGGTTAAAAAATGGAGAAGAATGTAAAGATCATTATAAATATGAAACTAATATACCGAGAATGATTTGGATCATTAGGATTTGGATTAATATTAATTGTGAGCACGGTTTCTACATACCATTGTTTATATCGATCCTAAGATTCAATAGAAAAGATTAAAAAAAAAAACAAGTTTTTTGAAGAATATTATCAAAGATATTTTTTTACTTTCAGCAGAACATATTGACAAACAGCTAAATCAGCTCGAATACAACAACATTGAAGAAACCAATGAGGTTTCCAATAGAATATTAGACGAAGAAATCCCACAGTTAAAACAATAAATATCCATGTAATAGTTGTTCGTGCTACCGATCGAGAATATCCATATAAAATCTAATAGAAATAAATATTATTAAATTATAATTTGAAATATTTTTTCACACACAAATTGATCGTCTGTTCCATCATTAACTACTTGATATGAACGAATGCCACCTGGTTGAGGCATCGAACTTGATGAACCAATCTGAAAACAAGATTTAATCGAATATAATTATAGAGAGATAAAATTAATACTTGGCGAAGTTCCAATAATTTGCCGTCATATTGACGATTATTCATGGATATTGACGTCTTTTATTTCCTGTTAAAGTGTTTCACTTTGACCACTTTTGTCTCTAATAATATTATAAATAAGGAGATGCGTTTCAGTCTTGTCGTAATCAATGATAAATAAAAGCCCTTTTGTTTCTATTCTTCTATGATGGGAACTAACTTATGATATAGCTTTTTTTTATGTTTAACCTTTATCAGGATTTAAGTTGAGAATATATTTTGATAAAAAAAAACAACCAGAACTTATTCATATAATCCAGTACACTTATTATTTATTAACTGTTTTTTTTATCGTATTTACCTACTGAGAACTTATAAAGACCATAATAAAAAAAAAGTATAGAAAACGATGCAAAATGACGAGAGTCCCGATAATCAGTGAAGAAAAACATACATAAAATATAACGGCACGGGTCTTTCTGATAAGAAACATTTATTTTTGCCACTTTGCATTGTAGTCATGCTGAATATAGAGCATGCGTAGTTTCATTCGTTCTAAATGCAAACGAAAACAAGCGAGATAGAAAGAAAAAGAAAAAAATGAAAAAAAAGAAATGTATGTATATGGATAAATGAAAAAGTAGAAATAATAAATAAACAACGAAAAATCTATCATATTGGATAGCAAACCTACCAACGGGAAAAAGGCAAGATGCGGTTTGAATATAAACTGCTGTTCGGTTTCATTTTGAAAACAGATGTTTGAATAAGAGAACAATGTAAATATATGAGATAATTGACATCTGTTGAATTGTATTTTACATGAAAGAAAAATAATAAAAAAATAATTTCAAGAAATTATAAGAAAAAAAAAAATTCTTGTTTGATAATCGCTCGATAGGCAGAATCGAACTGCTACGCCGCGAAGCGTCCCTAGGTTTGAAGCCTAGCCCCAGCACCAGCCGAACTCAACCGAGCACTAACATAATCTTAAAATTCCATTTTATACTGAAATACTATGATTTTAAGCATCTGCAAAGAAATGCGGTGAATAGATTTTAGACCAGTCTGGTCATATAGTGACACCTGCCAATGTGTCATACGTAATTAATAAAATTAAAATAAAGAAAGATTTTCTAGATTTTTCAAAAATAATATTATATATTTATTCGATATATTATTATTGACATCTATCATAAAAATTTCATTTGATTTGATTATGAACAAATCGTTCTACTGCTATTTACCAAATATATTTTCAATACATTTCTTCGATTCTAAAGTGAAAACTTTACTTCTGTTTGGAATGTCTACTGATAGTAATAGTGGTAATAAATCTTTTTGGCCTGTAAAAACAGCTTTAAAAGAAAAAATCATCGTACTCTACGATGCTTTATTAAGTGTATGTTCTAAATTAGTTGAATTATATTCCATGTTGTTTTTTCTTTGAAATTCAATACTAATCTTCAGGGTGATCAACCATGGCTTGAGAATGGTCATTTTTGGGATGATTTTTTTCTTTTAAAAGTTAACGCAAAATATTTATTAGAAGAACTTGAACGAACTTACATTGATAAACCTGCTGTACTCAAAGTATTTATTCTTTTTCTCTTGATTTTTTTTTTCATAAGAAAATATTTTTTTTTTTTTTTTAATTTTTTCTTAATTTTAATAGCCTCAATTGAATACTATTTTTGATCAATGTCTAGTTTTTGTCAATTCAACACATCGTATTCGACAATTAAATGCTTATTATGTACCTATGATTATTTATATTGAATTGCAAATGTTATTTTTGTGTATTTATTATCTAGACTATCTGTACTCTAATACACGCCATAAGTCGAGTTAATCAAAGAAATGGTTTTGGTTATCCAGCATTAGATTTTCTTTGTGGTAGCGAAGGAGTTGATAATAAATTTGAAGTAAATTTATTTATTATTCTTATATTTTATTAATATTATGTTTTGTTTTTCATAGACTTTAATTGAATCAGTTAATCATACATTTCTTATTGATGAAAGTTTTTCTGGTAGTACTCTTTTAAAAAATGCTGCATTTGATGTTATTTTAACATGTTGTACAACAATGTTAAATATAAATGAAAATATGCTTATGGATTATATGATGGCAAATGTAAATCTTTTTGATTCAATTACACAATTATTAATACGTTCTCCAGCAAGTCATGGCTATGATGTCTGTCTTTTACTTGCGCTTCTTTTACAATATCATAAATATGATGTAGGATAAACGAAATTTGTTTTCTTTTTTTTCATTTAATAGAAATCAAATATTTTTTGTTTATATTATAGACATCCAATACATATATTATACGATTTTCTGTATTTGATGATGAAGTTGCTTTAACTGTAAGTAAATTAAAAATAAAATTTTTTTTTTTTATTAAACTTCTTTTTTTGTTGCTTTAGAGCTTAGCACAAGTTATTGGCTCATCTCTAAATGAATATAATAAGTAAATAGAATTGTTTTCTTAATCTATAAAAAAACATTTTCAATTTTAGAGCTTATGATATTGAACGAACAGCAAATGAATCATCATCATGGTGGAGTTCTTTAACAACATTTGTAAGTAGTATTGTCAAAGAAACACACTAGATAAGTTATATATCTTCTGTTACTTGAAAGTAAACAAATAAATACGACTGTTAAACTCAAACGAAATTTTATCTTATTTTGATAAAGTTTTTAATTAATGATTATAAAATATTGAGAGCATATGCTTATATAATACACTTAGAATAACAAAGCTCTAGGTAAATAAGCATAAAATGATGAGTATTAACGATTAGTATGCACAGCTATATCACAGAACAGGATAAACTTTGCGTGCTCTAATGCAGAGCAGAATGCAAAAAAATTTACTCTTTGACTCTCTATTATTAATTAATATACTTAAAAAATAAGTTTTTATAAGAAATTCTTTTTTCATATACAGTAGAGTATAAACAAGAGCTTCTTTTTAATACAGAACTTTGGTCGATGTCTCTATTCTAAGTTTCTTGAGTGATTGCTTTTAGAATTATATCCATTGAGACTGACACATTCTCAAGAGTTTTGTTAAGTTTCATGAAAACGACATATTATTTAAATGTTGAACGTCTGTCAGCAGATCCATCACCCATCTTATACTACTGGAAAAATATTTATCATAATACTAGTCGAAATTGTTCATATGAGGAAGATTTCTGCTCGTAACATCGAATGTAAAGTTATCAAGAACTATGAAGCATCAAGACTAGCGAAGCAATTTTTGAGCAGTAGTGACAGGAAACTATCAAGTAGCGCGAACTTCAGGTCAATTTGATCGATGCTCTACTAACTTGTTTAAAGATGAATACTCTCAAGTCTCAATGAATACAAATATTTCTTTAATAAAGTCTGAGATCGAATTGACACATAAACTCTAAGTTATTTGACTAGTTGCAAGAGAGTCAAGTTTTTCGCTCTTATTGATTCGAAGAGATAGTCAAGCTTTTATTTATTATTCTAATTATAAAACATACTATATGAGTAATCTATCAAGCCCAAAAAAAGTTTCAATATTCATCATTTCCAGCACGAGAAATTATTGAAAACTCTAACGGTAATTTTGTTTTTGAATCCTACTGTAATTTGTATTGTTCAACAATTCAATAGAAATATTATGCAATGAAAAAATTCATCTAATTCTACAAATAGTTAACAAGTTTGATCATTTATATGGGTTCTGAAATGATTAAAACAAATGACTATATGAGTAAAGTCAATCTATTTTTGACAAAATTTTCGTTAGAAAATATTTTCATACTAAAAACCGGTAGTCAAATTTTTCCGGAAAAAGTCACTTTTATTGACGGAAGATTTTATTTATTTTTTGAATGATATTCATCGAAGAATATCATCGTAAGCACAACACTAGCTTAGAGTTTATGAAAGAAGAAGAAAAAAAAATAAAACCGAATATTGTTATTTCTTTATGATATATATTTTAGGTAGGTTCTGCAATTCAATCTGGAGCTGGAAATCGTCGAATGAAAAAGTAATATCGATTGATATTTTTAATTATTTATTTTGTTTTGTCTAGAGTTGATGATTGTCTTTTGTTGACATTTTATGAAGCTGTTCATCTTAATCGAAATTTTATATCAGCACTTACACATGTAAATATTTCATATAAATACATAAGTCAATGAATTATTATTTTATTTATAGACAGCAACTAATACATGGACAACAAAAGGATCATCGTTGTTAAACAATGATGCTTTACCTCCATCATTACCAGCTTTCTCATCAGCATCGATGCTTGTTGGTTAGTAAATTTTTGATTATTTATAATTATTTGAATTTTGAGTTTATTTTTGTTTTTAGCACAAGATCAAACAGATTTTTCTAATATAGATGATTTTTCAGCATCAAATAATCTTCTTTCGGTTTTTCTTGAATATTGTTCAATTATTCAACAATTTTCAAAAAGTAAACAAAAACCAAAAAGACTTGTTTTATAAAAAAAAATTCTTTATTTCTATTTGAATTCTAATTTTAGATGAAGATATGTGTAATACAACAAAATTATGTTATTTAATACTTCTTTGTATAACAGAAGATGAATTTGCTAATGCAACAATGCATGATGAAAATGTTACATTTAGTGTTTATCTTCATAAAGCTGTATGAATTATTTTTCTTTAATTGAATAATAAAATTGTTTTTTTTTCTTTGTTTTACTTAAATCATTTTAGCCAATGCGTCATCGAAAACGTAATAATGAAAAAAATCTTCCATCACGACCATTAGCTGTTGCACTTTTGGATTTAATGATGGAATTTATTTGGAGTCATATGATGCGTAATTTTCCATTTGATCTTTATACGTAAATATTTTTTTATGTATTCGAACTAAAACAAATAAATTCATATTTCTTTTTTTCGATTCATATAGAAAATGTATTGGTATTATTCAACGTATACTTTCATTTCAAAAACGTACTCGAACACGTTTATCATATTCATGGAGACCATTATGGAATGGTAGAAAAACAAAATTTCTATTTTTTCTTTTTG